AGGGGGGGGCCGGGCTCTGCCCCTCCGCTCCCCGGGGGCCGCACCGCGCCCGCGCGCCGGTGCCCAACGCATCCGTCCATGCTCCTCGCGTGGGTCCTGCCGAAACCCTCCGGAGGTGGCTGGCCAGAGGAAAGACCCCCTGCGCGTGGGATGGGACACCCTGGGTCTCGACGCCCCCAGCCCCGCATGCAGCACTGCCACAGCCCCCCTGCCCCGCCACGTGCTGGTCCCCAAGCGGGGCCGGTAAGTCCCTTTTTTCTGAATATACTGTGCGGTTTTTCAAAGTTTTTGGTTTGACCCTTCGGGATGGGGAAATGACCAAAGAGGAAACAAAAAAGAAACTTTGAAAAAACGTGCAATATATTGACCAAAAAAACGGGACTTACCCCGGACCCTAAGGGCCGCTCCACGCTCGGGGCAGCCTGGGCCTTGCACAGCACCCGGCAGCCGTGACGGGGGCTGGAAAGAAGAAGATGGGGTCAGCGTCAGCAAGCGGGATCGCTGCTCTCAGGGCAGCAGGGAAGGAGGAGTGGGATCTGACAGCGGAGGGAAGAAGGGTGAGGACGGGGTTGGGCGCGCAGGCAGAGCAAAGGTGCCACCACATCTGCTGGGAAGGAAAGCGCGAAGCCGAGGGTCGGGGCAGCCCTTTGGCAGCACTGCGAGACACATGGCCGCCCAGGAGGTAACCATGTCCTGGCTGAACCCAGGCTGAGACCCGACTCGATTCGTTTCATTCACGGGCAGCAGCCAGCAGGTCCTACCAGTCCCCTTCACAGCCGGGGCTGCAGCAAGGCCCCCGTCAGCCTTGCGGTGCGTCGCGGGCAGTGGTGCAGACAGCAGCAACATCTGCCTGTGGCATCTCCCCGACGCCCATGGCTGGCCCCACGTTTACAGTCCAGGCAGCAATTAAAAACCCCCTTAAAAGCAACCCCAGCGAGGACGGCGGCCTGCTGCGGAGCGCAAAACCACGCTGGCCCGTGTTTTATGCTGACATCGTTTAGTCAAGCAAGAAAGAACAGCTTCCGACTGCAAAACCGAGCCGGGACTCCTGCCGGTTCTTGCTGAGAGAGAAACCACCGCACGGCAGCAGGTCTTTCTGGATCAGAGAGCAGATAAACCTCCCTCAGACACAGCTTCCTCCCCTCGGCTCCCTGGTGGCAGCTGGGGAAGGTTTGGCAGGCAGGAGGGAAGGACAGAGCGGCTGCCGGGACACGTGCAGCAGGGCTGTCTGTGGCTCACAGACTGCTCCAGCTACTGGCCTGGGCCATGTCTGGAGATGAGCAGGCAATGAGGGGACAGACGTGCAGCAGGGCTGTCTGTGGCTCACAGACTGCTCCAGCTACTGGCCTGGGCCATGTCTGGCTATTTTTGGCTTAAGACACTTGTCCCAAAGAGACGAGGGGCTGGGTTCACTCTCAGGGAATGGTGATCCCTCGCTACAGAGCTTGGAGGAGCAGAGCTTGTGTGTGTGAATGCGCCTCTCCTGGTTCGGCTACTGGAAGCCCAAACCAGCAGCCATCGCACCCAGCGGATGCAAGATGGCCCAGCCCTGGGACCGGGACCTGGCAGCGCTATGGGGCTGCTGGCCCAGAGGTGCTGCAGGAGGGAAAACCCTGGTGCACGACGTCCCTCTGCCTGGCTGGGTCCCAGCTCTCCGGAAAAAAAAAAAGACAGCCATCATGCCCCTGGGGCCTGGGCACAGCTCAGCCTTCCCCCTGCCCAGAGCTCAGGAGCAAAGAGAGCTGGTCTGGGCTCTCGGGCAGCCTCAGCCCCTGCGCTCAGACGTGTCCTGCAGCTCGGCACGACCGCACAGCCTGACCCTGCAGGCGCCTGTCTCCGCTAACCGCCCTCCCTTGACACAGCTTACCAGGACAGGCTTGGAAACACCCAGCAGAACCACCAAAGAGACACCCTGTGAAACACTCGGGGCCTCTGGAGTGACGGGAGCTCGAGAAGCTGATGACATTTAACAGTCAGCAACATTCAGCCTCAGGGTACAAGGGATCTGTTTACAAAGCTGCAACATCCCAGCTGCAAAGCGCGCTGCTAGTGGGAGGGGGGGCTCTCTGTCCTCCGGATCACGGAGCTGCCTACGTCCTGCTCTCCCTCCCGCCCCGTCGCAGAGCAGGGCGCAGCCCACCTCCGGTGTTGGTGATGGTGACAGGCACGCCTTGGACTTGCACGCCGTTGATGTTGATGGTCTGCATGGCCTGCGCCGCGGCCGCCAGCTGAGCCGCGTTCAAGCTGATGATGCCTCCAGCGGGGGCAATCTTTGGCAGAGTGCGTTCCTTGCGTGTGGCTGGTTTCTTGCTGCTGCCCCCCGTGCTGGAGCTGCGGGACACCGGGCTGCTGCAAGAGGTCCCAGATGGAGCCACCGTCATGGCTGGGGCTTCCTGGAGCAGCACTGTCTGCAGCTCACCGGACGGCGTTTTGAAGTAGACCTGATGGGAGGAGAGAAGAGGAATGAGACCAGGCAGACCCCCCTCCATCCACCACGATGGTCGCCCTCCCCACACAACCCAGGAATCTGGGCCTGCGACGAGCCAAAGAGCAGGCGAACTGGCCCCAGCACCTGAAGACCCTTTGTGGGCCTCCTGAAGAAGGTCATGGCCTTGTACAGCAGCAAAGGGCTGCTTTGGCCTTGCAGCCTAGTTTCCAAAGGCAACACTAAAGATCCTATGGGCTGTGAGCCCCTCTCTCCCACCTCCCTCTGCCTCCTAAGAGCTTCCGAGCAGGCTGGCACATCCCAGCCAGAGCTGGTGCCACAGCAGAGGCTTCAAGGATGCTGCAACTCCTACAGGTCCTTTAAAAGCAGGAGGCCAACAAAAGAGACTTAATAAAGCCTGCCAGAGGGAACAGCTGTGCTCCCAACCCTTCTTAGACATTACAGAATCCACACAAGTGATGCCTAAACTGGATGCCAAGCTGAGGATGTCTGGTGGCTCACAAAACCCTTCAGCTTTCTAAAGCCTGCGTGAGAGCTCGGAGGAGAAACAGGGCAGAGGGACCTTGCAGGAGAACACAGGAGGTGGTACCTGGGTAGGAGTGGGTTCCGTCGTCTGGATCTGGAAGTTCTGGGAGGATTTTTGGGGGACGGTGGGGAGCGTGGCGGAGGCAGCCTGGACCACACGCAGGGCCTGCTGTGGGATCTGCACCACCTGCGACTCCTGCTTGGGCTGCACCACCTGTACCTGCTGCACCACGGCCGGCTGGCCGGAGCCCGGGCTCTGCACGATGAGCAGGTTGTTGCCCGCCTGGATGATGTTCTCCGCCGTGGTCTCTATTAACACCGTCTCCACCTGCTCAGCCACGGCCACAGCAGCAGGCTGGGCGGGCGACATGGCTTTCTTTCGAGTCTTTTTGCTGGGCTTTGAGGGGCTCTCTGCAAGGATCTGAGCCTGCGTGCCCGGCTCAGCGGCATTCACCAGGTTGTTCACAGGCAGGGTAAGAGTCACGTTGCTGCCGCCGGCTAACTTGACCACGTTGCTTGTGCCCTGCGCTGGCGAAGCTCCATCCTTTTGCGCCGGAGCCGGTTTGATGGGCACGGGCTTGTGAGAGGAAGAGGAAGGGGTGAGGATCGCTTGATTCGTGCCTGGAATAATCTGGATCTGGTTGGTGAGGTTGGGCTGGACCTGGATGGTCTGTCCCCCTGCGGCCTGGATCTGGGGCACCGCCTGGTACTGGATGTTGGCGGACGAGCGGGTGCCCTTGTTGATGACAGTTGGGTTCTGAATGGCAAAAACCAGCTGCCCCCCTGGGTAGGAGGTGCCAACCTGAGAGCCCTGGATCTGGAAGAGGTTCCCCTTCGACGACAGGATCCCAAAGCTGTTCTTACCGGAGCCCAGAGGGAGGGGAGCAGGTTTGATGGGGACAAGTTTGCGAGGCGTTGGCTGAGGAGGGGCAGGAGGAGTCACGGCAGCTTCCACTGCAGGGGGACCAATTTTGCTACATGTCGCTGCAAGGAGGGCAAGAGGAGACGGCTGGGAGTCCTGGAAGCCAGGAGGAAGACGGGTAAGTTAGAGAGGGCTTGCACCAAACATCCGGAGATCAAGTCAGCAAAGGAAAGAGTACACGCTATCGAAAGAAATCCAGTCCATGCCAATGAGACACCCCTTATTAAGGGAGCTGCTTAATTATCCGTACCACGTGTGCCTTTAGCTCACCCTAGTTACACTACTTTCAGTCATCAGGATGGTGACTGCCTTTTAATTGTGTGCCTACGTTCTTATAACCTCTACAAAGCTGCAAATACCCTGCAAGTCTGCTGGTATTTACCCCCACTACACAAACCATGGAGCGTCATGGGCAGTTTTAATTCCAAGACCACCTTGTGATATCAGCTGCTAACGCGACTCAAGAAGTCCTTAAGGAAAACACAGCGTGGGGAGGAGAAACAACACTCCGGAAGAGTTGGTGTCGGGGCTGGGAACAAGTCCAGAGCGGGGCTCCCTAGCCTGTCCTGCAACCAGCTCTCCTCCTGACGTGGCAATGCTGGCTACAGCAGAAGCAGGAGGGGCCGAACAATGCAGCATTTGCTGTCCTGCACCCCGGGACACGTCCCTCCGCACCAGCGGGGAGCCGGGAGCCCGCCAAGGGTACTCACCTGGGCAGTGGAGGCGGCCC